GTGATGAGCTGTTGTGACTTAGCATCAGTCTTCTCCAGCAAGCGTCAACTTTCAGGTAGAGAATATGAAACTCACTGTGGTATTTCTTCTGGGTTTGCAGGATTCCACCGAGTTTGTGAAATAATCTTAAGAAGTGGGATACAGGGTTAAAGAGATGGCTCAGCAGTTAGGAGCACTAGCTGCTCTGCCAGAGGACGTGGGTTCAATTTCTAGCACCTACAGGGAAGCTCACAATGGTCTGATATTCCAGCTCCAGCAGGATCTGATGTCCTCTTCTGGCCTTTGCAGACATCAAGTATGTATGGTGCACAGCTTGGAGGCAAAATGCCTCTACACATAAAACTAAAATAAAAATAAAAAAGAAGTGTTAGTTGTGAGCAAAGAGATATATGCTTCAATTTCTGTTTTGAGCCTTGATCATATTTCTTCTAAGTCCATCAGTAAGAAGGAAAGGGAACTATCTTGTGTTAAGAACCTGAAATAACTAATCATGCCCTTGGACAGCCAAATTGGAGTTCTCATGCTCACCCATGTTTGGAAGCTCCGTTTTCTCGATGATGAAACTGTCCACCTTGACTTATCCTTCCTTCTCTGTTTCTATTCCACTCACACTTTTAGCTGCGAATGTTTTTGTTTCCAAATCAACTTTTCTCAAAGTGACATCCCTCCTCTTTGACATCTGGTTTGCTTTGAACCACAACCTTTAAATTAGCTTTGGTTTTTCTTTTCATTTTTCACTTATCATCAACCACTTGATAATTTTTCATCTGTATGGCTCTTGGATTTAAATTTCTTTTCATAAAAATTGAGGCTTTAAACATCTTGGCAGCAGGTACATATGTAAATCATTTGTTCCCCACAATCATTTGTTCCCCATATACAAAGTATAAGACAATAGAAATAGTTTTTAGCAGCTCGACAAGGTGGAGCACAACATTAATCCCAACAATAAGGAGGCAGGCAGATCTCTGAGTTCAAAGCTAGCCTGGGCTACAAAGTGAGCTCCAGGACAGCCAGGACTGTTACACAGAGAAACCCTGTTTCAAAAAACAACAACAACAATAATGATAATAATAATGATAATAATAATAATAATTTTTTAACAATATCTGATATATGGCTGTGTGACTCCATTGATGTTGAAATCATGCTTCCAACTCACTTTCTATATATATCCGAACAATTTTCTCTTAACTTTTATGACATTTCCTCTTACTTCATATATCATAACTTCCTGTAAACTGTAAACCATGATGTCATGGTTTTAGTGTTTTAACTACATTTATTTGTGTGTGTGTACATATGCTGTGGCTTATTTATAGAGATCAGAGGACGACTTGGAGGAGTCTGTTCTTCCACCATGTGTGCTCTGGGGATAAAACTTAGGCTATCATGATTGGCAGCAAGTATGTTTACCTGTAGAGCCATTTCATAGGTCCTCGGTATGTTTTAAAAATTCAACTTTAGAGACCTGGAGAGAACAGGAGTTCCACAAAGACCAAATGTTGCTGGGCACAGGGGTCTTTTCTGAGACTGATTCTCCAACCAAGGACCATGCATGGATATAACCTAGAACCTATGCTCAGATGTAGCCAAATGGGTTCCCTAGTAAGGGGAACAGGAACTGTCTCTGACATGAACTCAGTGGCTGGTTCTTTGACCTCTCTCCTCCCCCTGGAGGGAGGAGCAGTCTTGCTAGGCCACAGAGGAAGACAATGCAGCCAACCCTGATTTAAGACCTGATAAACTAGGGTCAGATGGAAGGGGAGGAAGACCTCCCCTATGGCAGGGAGGAGATGAGGGAGGGTGGGTGGGGATTGGGAGGAATACAGCTGCAGCTGGGATACAAAGTGAATAAACTGTAATTAATATAAAAAATAAAAATTTAATTAAAAAATTCAGCTTTAGTACGTAGTATGTCTTTTGTGTTTTTATTTAAATAACCAGCAACAAATTCTCTGACTGAATATTCTGGAAAGACAGATCTATTCATGCATATTTTTGAAGAATGATTTCAAACATTTCATTCTTTGTGAAACCTGACCAGCCTTTCCAAGGTCTAGCTTTGCTTGAGTGCTTTGAGCCTAATTCTTGCACACATCACTCTGTGTAAGTCTGTTGGCGTGTTTGCTTTCTATACTTGATAAGAACCCATTGTTTCACAGTACCTAGCAAGGTGCTGCTTAGAAAACAGTTGCTGAATAAATGTTAAATGGCTGAATGTGCTAGACTTTCTCAATCTCTCCATTGCCTTAACTCTAAGAGCACGCAGAACGTTCATTTTTGTTAAACTGCTTAGGATTGTACACACATTCTGTCTGGTGTGGGCTGAGACCTTCTGAGGTTAAATTATGATGTTTTCTGTACTATTTAACAGACCCTCAATTTCTTCATCTCTAAAATGTAGGTGTGCTGGATATTTTGCATCAATTTAAGTCTCAATTGAGAAAAGCTTTAATGTCATGCTGTAGGCAAGCCAGTGGAGCATTTTCTTAATTAGTGATTGATGTAAGAGAGACAAGCCCATGTGGGTGAGGCCACCCCTGGTTTATAAGAAAGCAGGCTGAGGAAGCCAGAGGAAGCTAAACAATAAACGGCATCCTTCCCTGGCCTCTGTACCAGCTCCTGCCTCCAGGTTCCTGGAGTTTCTGCTCTGACTTCCCTCAGTGATGGACTGTTACCTGGAAGTTGAAGCTGAGATAAATCCTTTCCCTGAAAGTTGCATTTGGTTGTGGTGTTTCATCACAGCAATAATAACCCTAACTAAAACAGTAGGTAATAGCACCTCATATTCGTGAAACTGTGTGAAATAAGACTGTTAGTTAAAATGTTTTGCACAGTTCTGGACATAGAGTATGTGCTCTGTACTAGTCATGATTCTCCAGAAGAATAGAATGGATATATAGTTAAGAAAGGAGATTAGACAAGTTTGTACAAGAGGAACCAGGCAATCCAACAGCGGTTGTCTGCACATTGGAGAGGCTGAGAAGCTGGCAGCTGCACAGGGTGGATTCTTCAGCATTCCCACGCTGGAGGTGAAGGCCCGGAGCATTCCTGTCAAGCCACTTGGACTTCAGTCTATGTTGGAGGACAAGAAGCAGGGTTCTGATAGCAATGAAGTACAGCAGTCACCAGCATGAGGGAGAAGGCAGGCAAACAAGAGCACTGCTTTTCCTTCAAACTCTTTATGCCTAAGTTTTCTTGGGAAGGTAGTTCACGCTCTGAGTAGGAGGGTCTGCCCGTTTCAGTAAATCCTTCCTTGAGATGCCCTCATAGACAGCTCAGAATTGTGTCTCTTTGCTGAGTCCAGATCCAGTCTAGTTGACCATAATAAAGATCAACTATCTCAGACTCAAAGTGAAAGAAGCATTTTGTAAGTTTATATGCTGCTTACATATGTGTCATTTTCCCAAGCCACATAGGGTTTGAGTGAAAAAAAAGAAGAAGTAAAAGGAGGAGATGACCACACCTAGGTATGATGGAGAAGGTTTACTGTAGATATGAGGGAGAAAACAGCCAGTGGCAGAGGTACCTGGCACGATCCAGAATGGACATGACCAGCTGAATGAGCCATGTGAGGAGAGTGGGGAGGGCAGAGGGTAGAGCCAGGAGCCAAGAGGCTAGGATACCAAAAGAAAGCCCTAAAGTAGTCAAAATAGCTGGATTATAAAGGGAAGAGCAGCTGAGGGAAGGGAAGCTCAGCCCTTGGGTTGGAGAGTTCATAGTAGAGGGCATGGTACCCTAGCCAGGATGATCCCATAACTGAGAGGGACTATGGTGAACAATGGTCAGCTTTGATGTGTTAATAGGCACCTCAGCCATTTGTACTGGGTTTATGACTCAACAAGAGTGGTTGTGAATAAATAGTAAATAAGAATGTATCCTTGGAATAATGTTGTTTTGACAACTTAAATACTTACTACCTTTGTTTTCACTTTCTCCAAACTGAGACTTAGAAGCCCAACCCTCCGTTTAAGTTCAAGTTCAACTTCCTCAGCAAGAGGCACAAAGCACTGTTAACTTAACCCGACTTCACTTAAATTGATGCAAAACTATCCAGCACACCTACATTTTACTTAAAACCCTAGACTATGGTTGGACTTCAGTCTCACAGTGTCCTCCTGGTTGCTTTCTTCTCAGCACTTACTCCAAGTTTAGGTACTTGGGAGGTGGGTGTTCAATAGAGACGTAAGATACTGGTAGGTCTAGAATTGGCAAGGCCATTCTTTCAGAGTGAGGCCTGCATCCGATTTGCTTGATTTCATCATGCAGAACTTCATTGAAACTTTTTTGCTTTGGTTAGTTCACTCTTGACATTTTGGGGATGCAGTATAATCACATCAGGCTCCTTTTGCTTTATGAAAGACTGACTCTGCTTTTGGAACGCAGGGTAGGGAGGGAGCCTTAGCCAGCGTCCTACTTTTCGCTCACTAAAGACATAAATTATGTTTATATAACTCTTGTCTTGTAGCCCGACTGGAAAGTGGTTGTTTCTGATAGTTAAACGTTTTCATGCACCATTATAATGTACAGTTTCCACTTACAGTCTAGAAGATGATAAAACAGGAGCAACAAAGGAAGGCTAAAAAGACACAGATGGAAACATACAAAGCCTGTTGTATGGAAACCCTGGGAAGATGACAACGAATTAAAACAGGTGGAATTCTATAATCTCCCGTGTATTTTCTCAATTCCGAAAAAAAAAAAAAAAAAAAAAAAGATTTGAAGCAGCAGCGAGGGAAAGCCCACAATACATCATAACATACTGGGCTAGCAGCCAAGAGAGGATCAGGGAGAGCGCTGAAGTGTGCTAAAGGTCTTTGGCATCTAACCAGCTCGGGACTGTCGGGGAGGTGACCACGCCTGGGGCGGCGCGCTGGGCCCGGGTGGCCGATCCTACCGGCTGGAGCTCGACCTGCCCTCCGCCCCGGGCCGGGCCCACACCGCGGAGCCCGGCGCGCCGGGGGAAGGAGTTTCTGACGCACCCGCCTCCCCGCCGCTTCCTGTCCCGCTCGGGGAACCGCCTCCTGCCGTGTCCCGGGACAGCGCTCAGCGCCGCAGCCCCTGGAGGTCCCCTGCAGTGCCACCTGCACCATGCAGTCCCGCCTCCTCCTCCTCGGAGCCCCGGGCGGCCTCGGCGAGGTGGCCTCGCGGCGCGTGCGGCTGCTCCTGCGGCAGGTGGTGCGCGGCAGGCCGGGCGGGGACCGGCAGCGGCTGGAGGTCAGACTGATGCACGCCGGGGTGACCGACTCAGGTAACTGGGCCTGCCGGCTTCGCTGCTGCCACCTCCCCTCGCTGCTGTGTGATGTGGGGCAAAGCGCTGGCGCCCCCTGGGCTCCACTCTGAAACCTGAGGGGTCTGGAATAAGGTCTCTGATGTCTAGAACACTGCTTTCTTCTACCACTGGAGATTTTACCACAAGAATCCCAACTTAGATTGGAGGGCACTCAAAGGGTCTATGCAGCAGCCTTTGGGGGCTGTTAAACCCCGTGCTTGACCTTGATCTTTGACTCCCAAGGGCTCGGTAGCTGGTTTTGTGTCATGAGTCAACTAGGGTTTGTGATGGCATAGACACGTATACATTCTTGTTGGAGAATCTGTGTCCATGGACCTTCCCAAGTTTAACAGAAGACGCAGTTTCAAGCATTCTTAGAACTGAAAGTCGTAAATTAAGTTAAAACCCTAGACTATAGTTGGAATGAATGAGTAGAAAGAAAAAAAGAAAAAAAGCGCCTTGCTGACTATCACACAGTGACATTGCAATTCAAAACCTGCCTTTCCCCGATTATAACTTTAGAGTATTTACTTGTTTTCCATTCTGTTACTCACTTTTCGATTGTGTGACAGAATACAAAAACATCCTGAAACAAGGAAGGATTTCTTTTGGCTCACAGTTTCAGATGTTTCGGTATATGCTTGCTGCCTCTATTGCAATGGCCTTTGTTAACTCAGAAAATCATGGTTGCAAGCAGGCTTAGCGGTGAAGCTGCCCTCTCAGGGACGCAGAGACAGGCATCAGGGATACGACCTACTTTTCAAAGACAGGTTCTACGTTCTCTAACCTCCCTGTGCGTCATCTCCAGATAATGTCATCTCACCAGTTTTGAGCCCATTAATCCACCAGTTTGTGGATCTACGAGGTTTTGGAGTTTATATGTCCAAATGATAAAACACTTATGTCGTTAAGGGCAGAAGTCAAGGGTAGAATGTGGCATAATCGGGGGTTTGGAATTGAACAGTTTTGGGTGGCATCCATTTTTGTACTCTCTAGCTATCAGAGCCAAGAGTAAGCATATAGAACATTTAAATTGAAAAAATTTAAATTAAAAACTTTTTATGAAGATTGTTCTCCTTACTGTACTACATGCTGGTTGTAAAAACATTAGAAACACTTATGGGTAGATCTGAAAACTGTTATATAGGTAGTACAGGGTAGTTTTAAATGTCCTCAGTTTCGTGTTATATCCAACAAAGGATAGGTCTGGTTTCATGTGTGAGGCATGGGCATGCTGTGGACAACATACCAACTTCTTAGACTCAGTGGTTGACTCTGGCAGGCCAGGCCAGAAGAAGTGCAATGTGCTAACCTGACTTGCCTTGCTATAACAAAGATTGTAACACTGAGGCTTTGAGAACTCTGGGTAAATGAAGTTGTGAGTTTACCAGAGATCTGGGCATAAGTAAGAGCCCTTATGACAAAATAGAAGGCAAACTGTTGGCTCTCCAGGTTAAGGCTTTCAAGGTTAGAGTGGCACGTCTGGAATCAGGTCATAAGCAGACAGATGTAATAGCACAGAAAGCAGCAGCCTATGATGGACTAGCGTGGATGCTGGGAAGACTGTCAGCTGTGCTCCGGCATGTGACCACCCTCACCGTGTTCTCTGCTTGTAAGCTGGTAGTTGCTTCCTAGCAGTGTGACAGAACAACAGAGTGCATGAAAAACAGATGCAGGTCATGTGCTTTTCTTCTCTTGCACTGTATGCCTGATGGTCTTGGTGCCTGTTAAGACTTTGTACCTAACAAGCATTAGGTGGCTTACTAGGTTAAAGTTCATGGAGAGTGTTTTTGTGAGAGGTTTCGACTGCTTTGCTGGCTTTCAAGATAGCACCTTTACTAGGCCTGATATAAAGGAAAAGAGGTCATTTATGTCAAAAAGTAAAAAGAAGCTGGGCAAGGTGTCTCACACCTTTAATCCTGGCATTGTGAGTTCAAGGCCAGCCTGGTCTATTAGAGAGTTCCAGGCTAGCCAAGAACAACCAGTAAAATGGTTGTCTGAACCACCCCCAAACACACACACACACACACACACACACACACACACACACACACACACACA